TGGATCGCAACCCTCAGTGTCGTGCCCGTACCGGACCGGGACCGGCAACGGGATCGCAAACCTCGGTGTCGCGCCCGTACCTCGCTCACCCAGTGAGCGGGAACCGGTCTGTATGTGGGATCCGAACCCTCGGCGGGAGCGCCACCGCACTTCCCAATCAGCGCACTATAGCAGTGCGCCACCGGGCCGGCCCAAGCTTCTTATGATTCTGAAACAGAAAAAAAGACTGAGGACTAGGAAGTTAGGGAGCAGGAGTCTCACTTGAGAACAGCCATTCATGGTGGGGGCCGCGGTGCTTTTGTTTCTCAGCATTATCCATAGAGAAAAATAGGGAAGGTTTTCTTTTCCCCTGTCTGCTTGCAGGAGATGTCAAGATATATAGCAATAAAGCTCTAAGAATTTTAGTTACTTTGAGCTTATGAATTGAAAGTGATTCAGAGAGTACTAGAAAAACTTGTTTGTTTACAGTGGGATTCTTATATTTCCTGGTAAATCAATATGGACTGTGAAAGTTGAATCTGATATCTGGTTATTTTTTTCTCTCTTTGTATATAGTGTTAATTTAGCGGGGTGAGGCTCTAGAAGATTTCACAGGCCCGGATGGTCGTTTTGTGAATTTTAAAAAAGGTGACCCTGGTGCGGGCGCAACACCGAGGGTTGCGATCCCGTTGCCGGTCCCCGGTACGGGCGCAACACCGAGGGTTGCGATCCCGTTACCGGTCAGTAAAAAAAGACAAAAAGGAAAAAATAAATAAATAAATAAATAAATAAAAAAGGTGAGGGGTAAAAAAGGTGAGGGGCCGGCCTGGTGGCGCACTGCTACAGTGCGCCGCTTGGGAGCACAGTGGCGCTCCCGCCGAGGGTTCGGATCCCACATACAGACCGGTTCCCGCTCACTGGCTGAGCGAGGTGTGGGAGCTACACCGAGGGTTGCGATCCCGTTGCCGGTCCCACGCCGGTACGGGCGCGACACTGAGGGTTGCGATCCGTTGCTGGACACGAAAAAAGACAAAAAGGAAAAAATAAATAAATAAATAAATAAATAAAAAATAAAAAAGGCGACCCTGTATATGTCTACTATAAACTGGCAGGGAGACCACCTGAAGTTTGGGCTGGAAGTGTAAGTAAAAATTGACATATGTTATCTGCTTGCTTTTTACTGGCTCATTTAGTACTCAGATTTAAACGACTATGTTTTCTTGGGGTTTTTGATGGAGTTAACCTGCCCTAGACTGTGAAAAAAATGGCCTTGTTTCCCTAGCAGGCCTCAGGCCTGGCACAGTTAGGAGCTCAGCAGAGGTTTCTGAAACAACTGAACTGATTCTGGCTGTTGCCCCTCACCATCAGGTTCTAGGATGCTTCATGAATATTAAAGGTTGAAATGGTGAAAATCTGAACATTCTTAACATCATTGCTTCAAAAAGAAAGGACTCCTGCTTAGACTTAATCCTGTAAACTGTGTGCAACATAGTGGTTCAGGCATGCAAGTTTAAAGTTGATTTTCTGTGTATTTCTTTTTTCCATATTATTAATATTTGTGGGAAAGTGGCAGTCCTGGGAACAGTTACCTAATTATCTGCTATTATTAGTCTGTTAAAAAAGCAAAATGTGTGTTCACAAGTATCACTTTGTGCTTTCCTGTTTGTTTTTTTGTTTGCAACTCCCAGGTCATCCTTTTCCAGCTTTTCAGACAGTTGTGCCTGGAGTTTCCCCCAGGGGATCTTTGCCCAGCCAGTGTTATGGGTACCCTCATATCAGACATGGCTGTCAATGACTGCATTATACTTTGATCTTTTTTTTTTTTTTTTTTTCCAGGGATCCGAACCCGGGGCCTTGGTGTTATTAGCACCGCACTCTACCGAGTGAGCCACGGGCCGGCCCATACTTTGATCTTTTTAATGAGGAGATTCACGAGGAGGGACCTGATTGAGAAGCTTAAGTGTTATTGTCCTTTCCTTTTTAAAAAGTATGATGCGTGGACCGTTTATTTACTTAATGTAGTAAGGATCCTTTATGTCCTTAGGATTGTCCATTGTCCAAACTTAGAAAAATACCTAGTCCTAAATGTGAAAGTTTTCATTCTCGATGAAATGCCAAACAAACAACAGGGAATAAGGCTTGGGAAATCTCCATAGGGAAAGTAGAATCATTTTGTTGGCATTCCAGATTCCTAGGGAGGAATCTTGAAATGCTAACTGGTCAGGTACAACCCTCATATTTAGACAGAATCCCAGTTGAAACAAAGAACCTATTCTGTTTCTTTCAAGTCTACCAAATGAGATTTCTTGATAATCTTCACACTTGGAAATGTTTTTCCATGTAGCTAGGGTGCATTTTTCCTGAGCAGTTAAGTTCTCTTTCCCTCCTGGTCTTTGAGCATAAATGAGTCGATAAATGAACTTGACTTATATTTTCCTCCTGCCACAGTTTTGCTTGTGAATATATTCATCTCTAGAAATCCTACGAGTCTTTTGGGTCCCAGCTCTCGTCCTGCCCCTTAGGGAACACTGTCTTCAGCACCCAGCCAGGAGGGTCTTGCTGTCTGATAACTGTTCAGCAGTGCTCCACACTGCTCACTTAGCACTCGTTTTCCTGCTTTGCATTGCAGTTACTTTGTGTGCTGTCCTAGCTCACTTTAAAGTAGAAAACTAGGGCTGGCCGGTTTGCTCAGTTGGTTAGNCTTGAAATGCTGACTGGTCAGGTACAACCCTCATATTTAGACAGAATCCCAGTTGAAACAACCTATTCCATTTCTTTCAAGTCTACCAAATGAGATTTCTTGATAATCTTCACACTTGGAAATGTTTTCCATGTACCTAGGGTGCATTTTTCCTGTAGCAGTTAAGTTCTCTTTCCCTCCTGGTCTTTGAGCATAAATGAGTTGATAAATGAACTTGACTTACATTTTTCTCCCGCCACAGTTTTGCTTGTGAATATATTCATCTCTAGAAATCCTACCAGTCTTTAGGGTTCCAGCTCTCGTCCTGCCCCTTAGAGAACACTGTCTTCAGCACCCAGCCAGGAGGGTCTTGCTGTCTGATAACTGTTCAGCCGTGCTCCACACTGCTCACTTAGCACTCGTTTTCCTGCTTTGCATTGCAGTTACTTTGTGTGCTGTCCTAGCTCACTTTAAAGTAGAAAACTAGGGCTGGCCGGTTTGCTCAGTTGGTTAGCACATAGCCTTGTAACACCAAGGTCAGGGGTTCAGATTCTCATGCTGGTCAGCAGCAAAAATAAAAGGAAAAAAAAAAGTAAAAACTGTAATGGGAGGGCCCATGTCTTGTCCACCTTCCTTTTAAGTATTTCCTCACAGGGCAGTGGCTCTTATTTTCATGCATCCTGATAGTAGTTTATGTAGAATTTGTCCTCTTGAGGTAATATGCCATTTTTTCCCCCAATTCAAATCAACAGTACCTTGGCAGGGATGATACATGGAAGTAAAATGAGACCTAAGATTACTTCCAGTCATCAGCGCCCATGGCTCTGCAACTTTTTTGTCAGATCTTAAGAAACAAGATACCACCCAATATGTAAATATAGAGTTTTACATGACATGTGGTCTCAATTGATAAAGATTGGGCAAAGATCAATGTTTTAGTCCGTTTTGTGTTGCTATAACAGAATTACCTGAGACTGAGGTAATTTATAAAGAAGAGAGGTTTATTTGGCTTACGATTCTGGGACAGCTGCATCTGGTACGGGCCTCAGGCTGCTTCTACTCATGGCAGAAAAGTGGCAGGCAGCCGGCAGGGACAAGCAGATCACATGGCGAGAGGAAGCAAGAGAGAGAGAGAGGGTGCCAGGGTCTTTTTAAGAAAGGAGCTCTGGTGGGAACTAATAGAGCGAGAACTCACTCATTAATCCCCCCTCACCTAGGGAGAGCATTAATCCATTCATTAGGGATCCACCCCCATGACTCAATCAGTTTCCAACACTGGCCCATTGGAGATCAAATTTCCACATGAGCTTTGGAGGGGACAACACATCCAAACTCCATCAATGAATGTATTTCCTTTCTCCATGTATCTCTTCCTTTTCCTTTTCCAGAGTCTCCCCTAATAAAATTTTCCTCAGAAGGAAAAGGTGTATTTTCCCTCAGTCTTCCCTCTCACTTCATGATCCTTGTACTTAGGAAATTAAGAACTTTCTCTTCTTAGTTTTCAAAATGATTCTTGTTTCTGTTTCTTAGTTGTATTCTGCAGTCTTTTCGATTTCCTAGAGTCCTAGACTTTATCTGCCAATAATGCAGCTTCTAATTGCCCTGTCTTATAGTCACAGCAGTATTCTACCGCTAATACTGGCTTTCAGATGGTTTCCAAATATAACAAGAGCACACCTGAGTGGGGCTATTTTAGGAAGTAGTGATAAGATGACCTTATTTTTTCTTTTTGTTCATTTGATTTGTCTATCAGTCTCCTTTAATGACTGGCGAGAGTTCTACCTCTCCCTTTCAGACATCAGCTAATAAAACGTGTTTATCAAAAGGAAATACTTTACATACTTTAGCTGTTAGTGCTGAAAATTAATGGGATTATTTTCTGTAGAGGTTTAGTTTGCATAAAACTGATACTTGGTTGTTTAGATTTGTATGTATTACATTATAATTTTATTTTCTCCTAAAATACCTGTAAATGTAGTTTTTCAAAACAGCTAATATACTGCATAATATCAATAAATATTTGCCTTTTGTGTAATGGTCATACATTTCAGAAATTTTGTATTCCTTTACTTATAGTTTTTCATGGCTGTTGTTTATTGGTTTGATAAAGACCTAAGTACTGGTATATGAGTAATGCNGGGCTGGCCGGTTTGCTCAGTTGGTTAGCACATAGCCTTGTAACACCAAGGTCAGGGGTTCGGATTCCCATGCTGGTCAGTAGCAAAAATAAAACAAAAGGAAAAAAAAGTAAAAACTGTAATGGGAGGGCCCATGTCTTGTCCACCTTTCTTTTAAGTATTTCCTCACAGGGCAGTGGCTCTTATTTTCATGCGTCCTGATAGTAGTTTATGTAGAATTTGTCCTCTTGAGGTAATATGCCATTTTTCCCCCCAACTCAAATCAACAGTACCTTGGCAGGGATGATACATGGAAGCAAAATGAGACCTAAGATTACTTCCAGTCATAAGCGCCCATGGTTCTGCAACTTTTTTGTCAGATCTTAAGAAACAAGATACCACCCAATATATAAATATAGAGTTTTACATGACATGTGGTCTCAATTGATAAAGATTGGGCAAAGATCAATGTTTTAGTCCATTTTGTGTTGCTAGAACAGAATTACCCGAGACTGGGTAATTTATAAAGAAGAGAGGTTTATTTGGCTTAGATTCTGGGACAGCTGCATCTGGTACGGGCCTCAGGCTGCTTCTACTCATGGCAGAAAAGTGGCAGGCAGCTGGCAGGTACAAGCAGATCACATGGCGAGAGGAAGCAAGAGAGAGAGAAGCAAGAGAGAGGTGCCAGGGTCTTTAAGCAACGAGTTCTGGTGGGAACTAGTAGAGTGAGAACTCACTCATTAATCCCCCTCCCCAGGGAGAGCATTAATTCATTCATGAGGGATCCGCCCCAATGACTCAATCAGTTTCCAACACGAGATCAAATTTCCACATGAGTTTTGGAGGGGACAACACATCCAAACTCCATCAATCAATGTGTTTCCTTTCTCCATGTATCTCTTCCTTTCCCTTTTCCAGAGTCTCCCCTAATAAAATTTTCCTCAGAAGGAAAAGGTGTATTTTTCCCTCAGTGTTCCCTCTCACTTCATGATCCTTGTACTTAGGAAATTAAGAACTTTCTCTTCTTAGTTTTCAAAATGATTCTTGTTTCTGTTTCTTAGTTGTATTCTGCAGTCTTTTCGATTTCCTAGAGTCCTAGACTTTATCTGCCAATAATGCAGCTTCTAATTGCCCTGTCTTATAGTCACAGCAGTATTCTACCGCTAATACTGGCTTTCAGATGGTTTCCAAATATAACAAGAGCACACCTTGAATGGGGCTATTTTAGATAGTAGTGATAAGATGACCTTATTTTTTCTTTTTGTGCATTTGATTTGCCTATCAGTCTCATTTAATGACTGGCGAGAGATCTACCTCTCCCTTTCAGACATCAGCTAATAAAACGTGTTTATCAAAAGGACATACTTTACATACTTTAGCTGTTAGTGCTGAAAATTAATGGGATTATTTTCTGTAGAGGTTTAGTTTGCATAAAACTGATACTTGATTGTGTAGATTTGTATGTATTTCATTTTAATTTTATTTTCTCCTAAAATACCTGTAAATGTAGTTTTTGAAAACAGCTAATATACTGCATAATATCAATAAATATTTGCCTTTTGTGTAATGGTCATACCTTTCAGAAATTTTGTATTCCTTTACTTATAATTTTTCATGGCTGTTGTTTATTGGTTTGATAAAGACCTAAGTACTGGTATATGAGTAATGCTATGAAATGTGCAGCTAAATTCTTGCTAGAGGTTATTTGGAATTGCGTTTCTAACCAGCTTTGATTTGCATAGTTTTAGTCATGAAAAGAATAATCTCATATGCAGATCTTTTATCTACTAAAATCTAACTATATGTGCCTTGTGTTTAGAGTTAAGCTGAACATAAAAAGAAAACTTCAATGGTTTTAGAAACGTTGGTTTAACAGTATTCTGTACTTAATTTTTATTAGAATAAACATCTCAGTGTAATTATAATATTAACTATCTATCTCTCTTGATTATATCTACCTACCTATCTATCTGTATTATTTCCTGTCATTACTAAGAAGTCTCTCAGTTGCTCATTTATATTTCTTGTACAGAATTTGATGAACACTTTTCCTTTTTGCCCATTCTTCCATATAGATTGGACATATTTTTGGATATTTTCCAAAGGATTTAATCAAAGTAGTCCATGAATATACTAAAGAAGAGCTACAAGCTCCAACAGATGTAAGTTGTGGATTGCTTTTTTGTCCTCACTTATGAATTGGCTTATAAATTTATCAGTTACATTCAATTAACTATTTTTGAAAGTCTTTGAATGTCTTTTGGTCAAGGAAAAAAACAAGCTAGCATGTGTGTATCAGATTTTAATTGGGGGTCAGACTACCTCTTAAAAAAAAGTTTGAAAAGAATTTAAAGGAGACCCTATATCATAATCTGATGGTTATACAATATATTCAAGCAGATGTTCTTATACAAGGCTGTGTACTCTTATACAAGGTTTTTCTTTGCAGCCTTATATGTGAAAATTAAGAATTCAATATGTCTGTAGTTAGTTATTAAGTTTAATAGATAATTTCATTTTATAAGCAAAAGGAGAAAGTGTCCCAATTTGAAAACTACTGACTGAGCAGCTATTAGACATTTTAAGTGTGTAGAAATCAGGTTAAATTAATCAAACCCTAAATTACCTACTGGGCCAGAAATGCAAACGTAGAGGAGTTTTCTTAATATCGAGTCTTTAATGATTTAAGGGATTATAGCTATGTTATAGATGTGGAAAAGGAACCTGAGAGTTTCAGGTGACAACTGGTCTCACATCTCTAAGGCACTGACTGCACATTCTGTAAAGTGTTCATCTGTGGTGCACTGGGATAAAATCGTTTTGTGATTAGAAGGATTTTGTGTTCTGGAATTCTCATTCCAGCTGATTATTTTCTGGAAGGTTTAAAATTTATAATAATTGATGCCCACCTTCATTCAAAAATCTCTGAATGTCTCTTTGAGATTGCTGCACAGCATGCAAACTGCTAGGCGAGGGCAATTCTTAGATGAGATTGGCAGAATGGATGAAGTCACAGAGCTATTGCTATTCTTAAGTTTTAATGATAATACCAGGGGCCATAAAATTAGCCGTTCTGCCTGTTTGGCTTCCCCTCGATGAAGAGACTGCCTAGGACCTTAATTTACAGTAAGGTATGTACTTCACTGAATCTTGTTTTCAAGCTGTCTTTATGGCAGTGATAACGTGGACAGCCCCCTTGATGTCATTCTTTGTCCCTTTAAATTGTTACCTCCCATGCACCTGTATCTCAGTAAGGTATTTCTTAAGCTTATTTATCTCTCCCAATCCAAGGAAAATATAAGCGAAAAATCCTTCCCAATCCAAGGAAAATATAAGCCAAAAATCCATGTAGACTTAGAGCCTGACAGCAAGGTGATTCTTCTGCTTCTAGCTGGGTGAGCAGAGAGGTACAGTGCAGAGGGCACAGTGGTAGAGAAGCTGGGTGGTCTTCTGGCTTCTCCTGGACAGATTACTATGAGGTGAATTCCTGGAACATCAAGCATAGATATTGGGAGTTGAGGAAACCAATAAATGACACCCCACTTTTTCCCATCTGTACTCAGAACCAGGAGTCAGGCAAATGGAGACCAAAATGTTGCCATTATTTCTGGATAAAATTTTTGGGAGAAAATGACTCAAGAAATAATGGGCTTTCTAACATTGCATTCTAGAGTAAAACAGACTTATCCAGCCACAGACAAAACTAGCCAACGGGGTACCTCCCCAAGGGGATTGTCCCTACAAAACTGACAGCATGGAGGAACAGAATACATATGTTTTCCCTCTGGCAGGTCCAAAACACAACACAGGGATGGGACTGAGCAAACTCACCAGCCACATGAATCATTCCTTCCCTGGGGAAGAGAGAATGAAGGGAAAGCCAGGAGTACTACTTAGGTGGGAAAGTGGGCTCTAGCCTCCTGTCCCCCCACTGCCTGAGAGGAGTCATCACCCAAGGTTGACACAGGAGCCCCTCTAGAGCCAAAATGAACTTGAGGTTATCTCTGTCAGTAGCATGGTAAGAGTTTGCTCTTGTGCCACTTAGTTAATGACACGTCCATGTTTTTCTTTCCCTTACAGGAGACAGATTTTGTTTGTTTTGATGGTGGAAGAGACGATTTTGATAATTACAATGTAGAAGAACTTTTAGGGTATTTGGAATTATACAATTCTGCAACTGGAGATTCTGAGAAAGCTGTAGAAAAAACTTCTCTGCATGTGCATGTGGAAAAAACTCCTGAACTATCTAAGGAAAATGAACCTGAACCTGAACCAGAAGAAGCCAACTCAGAGGAAAACAAAAGTGTGTTTCTAGAAAACACTAATGATCTCAAGGAATGGTTTATAGCTGAGAAGAACCATGCAAACAGTCAAATTGGTGATGCTAAGGGAGAGCAGTGTTTGTTTGAACCTCTTGAAGAAATGCTGCAAGATCAATTAAAAGTGCCACAAAGTGAAAACAACAAAACCAGCAATAGTTCTCAGGTTTTGAGTGAACAGAAGATTGATGCTTATAAACTTTTGCAAAAGGACATGACTCTGGACTTGAAAACCAAATTTGGCTCAACTGCTGATGCACTTGTATCTGACGATGAGACAACCAGACTTGTTACTTCTTTAGAAGATAATTTTGATGAGGAATTGGATGCTGAGTATTACACATTTGAAAAAGAAGAGGAGAATAAAGAAAACTTTGACGAGCTACCATTACTAATCTTTACAAGTGAAGAAGATTTGAAAACTCCAGTGAAGTCTGGAGTTGAGAAATATTCAACAGAGAAAGAGCAGAATTCAAATGGAGAGGATAAGGTTGAGATAACTCTGCCTCCTGCCATCAAAAATGGTGATAAAAATATACTAACAACTTGAGGGGATACTATCTTCTCTATTGTCATGGGAGGTGAAGAGAAAACAGGTGTGATGGATTTAGAGAGTCCTTCAGAGGAAGAAAAGGAAGATGATGACTCATTCATCCCAGATAGCAAACAGGAGACACCAAGATCAGCCATAGATTATACTGGCCCTGAAAATGTAGAAGACGGTCTTTTGATTGTAGAAGTCCCTGAAAGAAATAATGGGGAAGACCCAGAAGTGGACACAGAACTTCACATTAGAGGCAAAAGGAGGGAAGTTCAAGATCCTGAGAGGGGCCTGGTACAAAGTGAGAGTGAATTAGACGGTGAGAGGCAGGAGGAGATGGCTGTGCACAGCTCTACTCCAGACAGTAACCCTGACTCTTTATTAGCTGCTGAAAAGGGTAAAGACATATTAAAATCCGCCTCTGGTGACAGAGAAAATGACCAGAAAGGAGCAGCTATTCATGTCTCAGAAAGCGCACTCCATGGAGAAAAGCCTGGTGAGCAGATTTTGGAAGGTGGCTCAGAGAGTGGATCTGTACATAACGCTGCGGGGAATCAAATGAATGAAGGAAAGATTAAACGGGAATCCTTGGACATTGTGCCCCTTTTGGGAGATAATCCACATAATGCATCCAGAGACAGTGTGGCAGAAGTGAATGTTTTGGTAAGTAAACCAGAACCACACATGCCTTCAATGGAGCATCAACATGAGGAATTGAAAGAGGAAGTATTTCTTAAAACTCAAAATCAGCCTAGATTCTCCTCTCCAGATAAAATCGGTTTGCCGAGAGAACAGAAAGCAGAGGCTCCCTCTCCGGGAAGAAATCTTTCCGAGCAAGGAGGAAGAGCTGTGGCCGCTGCAGGCAGCGAGCGTGTGAGTGAGAAGACGAGGCCCACTGCGGCACGCGGGAGGCAGACCAGACTGACAGTGCACGAGGGCCAGGTTTCCGTGCTGTAAATCCAGAANCCCCACTTTTTCCCATCTGTGCTCAGAACCAGGAGTCAGGCAAATGGAGACCAAAATGCTGACATTATTCATGGATAAAGTTTTTGGGAGAAAATGACTCAAGAAATAGTGGGCTTTCTAACATTGCATTCTAGAATAAAACAGACTTATCCAGCCACAGACAAAACTAGCTACTGGGGTACCTCCCCAAGGGGATTGTCCAAATAAAACAACAGCATGGAGGAACGGAATACATATGTTTTCCCTCTGACAGGTCTGAAACACAACACAGGGATGGGGCTGAGCAAACTCACCAGCCACATGAATCATTCCTTCCCTGGGGAAGAGAAAATGAAGAGAAGCCTGGAGTAGTACTTGGGTGGGAAAGTGGGCTCCAACCTCCTGTCCCCCCTCTGCCTGAGAGTAGTCTTCACCCAAGGTTGACACAGGAGCCCCTCTAGAGCCAAAATGAGCTTGGGGTTGTCTCTGTCAGTAGCATGATAAGAGTTTGCTCTTGTGCCACTTGGTTAGTGACACATCAATGTTTTTCTTTCCCTTACAGGAGACAGATTTTGTTTGTTTGGATGGCGGAAGAGACCATTTTGATAATTATAATGTAGAAGAACTTTTAGGATATTTGGAATTATACAATTCTGCGACTGGAGATTCTGAGAAAGCTGTAGAAAAAACTTCTCTGCATGTGCATGTGGGAAAAACTCCTGAAGTATCTAAGGAAAATGAACCTGAACCTGAACCAGAAGAAGCCAACTCAGAGGATATCTAAGGAAAATGAACCTGAAAACTCCTGAAGTATCTAAGGAAAATGAACCTGAACCTGAACCAGAAGAAGCCAACTCAGAGGAAAACAAAAGTGTGTTTCTAGAAAACACTAATGGTCTCAAGGAATGGTTTATAGGTCAGCTCAGAAGAACCATGGAAACAGTCAAATGGGTGATGCTAAGGGAGAGCAGTGTTTGATTGAACCTCTTGAAGAAATGCTGCAAGATCAATTAAAAGTGCCAGAAAGTGAAAACAACAAAACCAGCAATAGTTCTCAGGTTTCCAGTGAACAGGAGAAGATTGATGCTTATAAACTTTTGCAAAAGGACATGACTCTGGACTTGAAAACGAAATTTGGCGCAACTGCTGATGCACTTGTATCTGATGATGAGACAACCAGACTTGTTACTTCTTTAGAAGATAATTTTGATGAGGAGTTGGATGCTGAGTATTACACATTTGAAAAAGAAGAGGAGAATAAAGAAAATTTTGATGAGCTACCGTTACTAATCTTTACAAGTGAAGAAGATATGAAAACTCCAGTGAAGTCTGGAGTTGAGAAATATTCAACAAATAAAGAGCAGAATTCAAATGGAGAGCATAAGGTTGAGATAACTCTGCCTCCTGCCATCAAAAATGGTGATAAAAATATACTAACAGCTTGGGGGGTACTGTCTTCTCTATTGTCATGGGAGGTGAAGAGAAAACAGATGTGATGGAAGAGAGTCCTTCTTCAGAGGAAGAAAAGGAAGATGATGACTCATTCATCCCGGATAGCAAATAGGAGACACCAAGATCAGCCATAGGTTATACTGACCCTGAAATTGTAGATGACGGTCTTTTGATTGTAGAAGTCCCTGAAAGAAATAATGGGAAAGACCCAGAAGTGGACACAGAACTTCACATTACAGGCAAAAGGAAGGAAGTTCAAGAACCTGAGAGGGGCCTGGTACAAAGTGAGAGTGAATTAGACGGTAAGAGGCAGGAGGAGATGGTTGTGCACAGCTCTACTCCAGACAGTAACCTTGACTCTTTATTAGCTGCTGAAAAGGGTAAAGGCATATTAAAATCCGCCTCTGGTGACAGAGAAAATGACCAAAAAGGAACAGCTATTCATATCTCAGATGGCACACACCATGGAGAAAAGCCTGGGGAGCAGATTTTGGAAGGTGGCTCAGAGAGTGGATCTGTACATAACGCTGCAGGGAATCAAATGAATGAAGAAAAGATTAAACGGGAATCCTTGGACATTGTGCCACTTTTGGGAGATAATCCACATAATGCATCCAGAGACAGTGTGGCAGAAGTGAATGTTTTTTTTTGTTTTTTTTTTGTGACCGGTAAGGGGATCGCAACCCACTGGCCATCTCTGTATAGGATCCGAACCCACGGCGGGAGCACTGCTGCGCACTCAAGCGCCGCACTCTCCCGAGTGCACCACGGGGCCGGCCCAGAAGTGAATGTTTTGGTAAGTGAACCAGAACCACACATGCCTTCAATGGAGGATGAACATGAGGAATTTAAAGAGGAAGTATTTCTTAAAACTCAAAATCAGCCTAGCTTCTCCTCTCCAGATAAAATCGGTTTGCCTAGAGAACAGAAAGCAGAGGCTCCCTCTCCAGGAAGAAATCTTTCCGAGCAACGAGGAAGAGCTGTTGCCACTGCAGGCAGCAAGCGTGTGACTGAGAAGACAAGGCCCGCTGCGGCAGAGGTCAGCGAGGGCTCCTCCGGCATGCGGGAGGCAGACCAGACTGACGGTGCACGAGGGCCAGGTTTCCATGCTGAAAATCCGGAAGCAGCAGAGGATGACTATCCTCCTGAAGAGCTACTGGAAGATGAAAATGCTGTCATTGCAAAACAGTCTAGAAAGAAGAGCCCTGGGACTCAAGACAGGCAGGCAGACGTAAATATGCAAGTCGCCGAAAGAGCAATTTTAGAAACCATTAACCCTGATCTGAAAACTGAAGAAAACGAACAAGAAACCAGTATGATTTGGGATACTAAAGGAAAAAGTGAACCCGTGGCCGAAGGAGTAGACACAATAGGCAGGGACCCAGTCGATATGGTGGTGGAAAAAGAAGAAAGCCCTCTGGTAGATAAGAAAGCACAGAAGCCATCTGATGTAAGTGACTTCCCGGACCAATGTGGGGTTGAGGTGTCAAGCTATGCTAGCCTGGTGCACTCTCCTCTTCCCTCCCTGTAGAGAAGCAACCACCACGTGAAGATCTCCCACAAGAGAGTACGGAAGACCTTAGTATGTGGGGAACTGCAGCGCTCAGCTACTTGGATCAGCCCACAACTGATGACACAGGAGCCTCAGAAGTATCACAGAAGCCAGATACTGAGAACAAATTAGACCCAGGTAAAGCCTGCTCATTTTTCTCCATGAAGTAGAGGGACATCATAGTGAAAACCTTCTAGGAGATTCGTAGTCAAAGGTGGGAAATAGAGAGGAAGATAGATGACCTGTCCCACTGGACTCCACATACACCTGCAGATGTACACATACATCAGCACAGTGACCATAGGGAGGACTTGCGTATAATAAGCAGCTTCTTTAAAGAAGAGCAGTCTTTGCAGCGGTTCCAGAAGTACTTCGATGTCCATGAGCTGGAAGCAATGCTACAAGAAATGTCATTAAAGCTGAAGTCAGCACAGCGGGAGAGCCTGCCCTACAATGTGGAAAAAGTCCAAGATAAAGTCTTCCGTGCTTCTGAGTCACAACTTCTGAACGTAGCAGAGAACATGCTCGATACACGTGTGTCCAAGAACAGAGATCTGGGAATGAAGGGAGATAATATATTTGAAGAGGCCGCGGTGCTAGATGACATTCAAGACCTGATCTATTTTGTCAGGTACCAGCACTCTACAGTGGAGGAGACTGCCCCACTGGTAATGGCACCACCCCTAGAGGAGGGCTGGGGCAGACCCATGGAAGGTAAAGTACCTGCCCGTGGCCTTGTAGAGCAGGGCTGGAGAAGAAGGTGGGGAAGGGGGTCGCCGAAGTGCCTCATACCTTATCCATAGAGCTCTGTTCACATTTCCAGGGTGTATAGAGGACAGAGATCATACAAGGAACCACATGTTCTTTCCTGCCTTCTTTTGTTTAGGCTGGAGTATGGAGAAGAATTTCTTACTTTTCCTGGGCAGTTGAGACTGAGTAGCATTTCAAAATGAAACTTTGTAGAAAGCTAAAGAGAAAGATATAAATAAGAAAATGATGTACTTGTTAACATTGCACTTGTTAACAAAGTACAGATATGTAAAATTCTGAAAGGGCTTCACTGAATGCAATTTCTTATTCGAGTTACCTGCACTCTAACCGAGCCTTGCTTGAATTCCTGCATTCCCCCCAAAGCTCGTCTTTTGTGGATGTCCTGTTCTTTCGTGCATCTTGGCAGCAGTCACTTTCTCCAGTTAAACTAGGGCTCCTGCATCAGATTAATCAAGGCTGGAACCAGTATGAGGAGCCTCCTAACACAGCCTTTGACACGTAGAAGTCATTCAGTAAATATTTGCTGAATTGATCCCAAGCCAGTATCCTGATACAAACTTTTTGATTCCTGGTTCCATGCACTATTCTTTGTACCCAGGCTTTCAAATGGAGGTAAGTGAACTGAAGATATAAGGTAGAGTAACAGGGAGACATAAAGCCTCAGAAAAACATATCTCCCCAGGATACCAGTTATTCCTGAGAATTAGGGGAGGAAAATGTTTTTTCATTTAATCAAAGCAGATATATTTTGGATGGGAATAAAAAATTGAAATGAGTTTTCAGGGTAAAATGTGAGACTGCAAAGAAATTTGTCTTTGCCGTGGATCACTTTGGACCATGCCTTGAGTGTGTTAGGGAAAGGGATGGGTGTACTCTTTTGGCTCCTTGAGATACTTTGAGAATATTTGAAAGACACTTC